AAAGAAAGAAAGAAAAAGAAATTGATCTAATTTTTTTTCTGGTACTGGGGATCGGACCCAGGGCCTGAACTATATCCCCAGGTCCTTTTTTATTCTGAGACACACTCTTGCTAAATCACTACAGTTGCTCAGGCTTGCCTCAAACTTGCAGTCATCCTGACTCAGCTTCCAGAGTGTTGGGATTACAGCCTTGCACCACCACTTCACCTGACAGGATTTCTGGGTGGACACCGGCATCACGATAGTAATAACAAGTCTGCCTCCGCTGCAATTTGATACAGTGATGCTTCCAGAAACTCTCCATTAAGGTGAGAACCACTAGGTGACTTGAGCTCTCAACAGATTAATAATTTCTCAGGAGTAACTGAAATCTTTGGGGTTTTCTCCTCTCTCTACTGAGCCTGAACTAACAGCAATAAAAGCTTTTCTGGGCCTTATCATACTGTCCGATAGATTTATATATTCAGTGTCTTACTATGACCTAAGCTATGGTAGGACAGAAAATGCATCACAGCAACTAACATGCTCCGATGAGATTATATTAGAATATGGACCATTGCCGGGCATGGTCAAACATGTTTGTAATCCCAGCACTCAGGAGGCTGAGGCAGGAATATCACTGCAAATTTGAAGCCAGCCTGGGCTATTTAGTGAGTTCAAGACCAGCCTGAACTACATAGTGAGACCCTGTCTCAAAAAAAAAAAGAAAATGAAAAAGGCAAAATAGAATATGGACCATTGAAATCTGCTTTTCAACACTCTTCAACTATCAACCAGCCAAACAGAATTATTTTGATAGGTTAACAACCAATGTAGACCAATTGCAGCCTTACTTGGAAGTGAAAACGCTGGTCATAATCATTCACTCTTGTAAACACAAAGTCTTTTTTGTGAGGAGTTAACAACCACTGAATTTTCCAGGAAGTGCAACCGTTGTGCAAAATGAGGAAACTCCTATCTGGCTCGGAACTTGGCCAAGGGTTGTCTGCCTGTCGGAAAATTGTGTTGGGCTCAGCCCTTGGCAATTAGACGCCAGCAGAGCAGGTTTCCACCACGTTAGGTTCTGAGGCAGTGGCCCCACAGATTTGCATATTGTGATGCAAAATTACTATTAAATTACTTTTTTTTTTTCCATACATAATTTATTATTTTTTTCCTAGGGATTGAACCCAAGGCCTTCACATTGCGTTACCTCTGAGCTGTTTTTATATTTTTATTTTGAGACAGGTCTCATTAAATCAATACGTTCTGGCTGGGCATGGTGGCACACGCCTGTAATCCCAGCACTCGGGAGGCTGAGGCAGGAGGATCATTGCAAGTTCGAGACCAGCCTGGGCTACAAAGTGAGCTCAAGGCCAGCCTGAACTGCAGAGTGAGACCCTGTCTCAAAAAGACTAAAACAAAACCAAAAAAAAAGACAAGTCACTACATTTCCCCAGGCTGGGCTCAAATTTGCAATCCTTCTGTCTCAGCCTCCCAAGTACTGAGATCACAGGTGTGTGCCACAATACCTGGCTACTATCCTTTTATTTTTCCTTCTTACTATTACAGCAATAAAGTGTTCCTCCCTTTCTTTCTCATTCTTTCCTTTCTTCTTTTTTTCCCTTGTTTGTGATACTGGGGATCAACTCAGGGCCTTGCCTGTGCTACACATGTGCTCTACCACTGAGCCACACCCCCAGCAGAAGATTGTTTTTGTTTTTTGGGGTTTGTTTTTTTTTTATCATTTTGATACAGGGTCTGCTATGCAGTTCAGGCTGGCCTTGAGCTCACTTTGTAGCCCAGGCTGGTCTCGAACTCGAAAGGATCCTCCTGCCTCAGCCTCCCCAGTGCTGGGTGTATAGGTGTACGCCACCACGCCCAGCATTGGTTTTGATTTTGTGGTTGGTTGGTTGCTTGCTTGCTTTTTTCATTTTTGGGGGGAGGAGGTTGTTTGGTTTTCTTTTCTTTTTCTTTTTGTTTTGTTTTGTTTTCATTTTTTTGAGACAGGGTCTCACTATATAGCTCAGGCTGGTCTCAAATTTCAATCCTCCTGCCTGTCTCCCAAGGACGGAGATTACAGGTGGGCACCACCATGGTGGGCTTTGTTTTTTGAAACAGGATCTTGCTATGTATTCCAGGTTGGCCTTAAACTCACTAGGTATCCTGAGCTGGCCTTGAACTCTCAGCAATCCTCCTGCCTCAGCCTCCTAAATGCTGGGATTACAGGCCTGTGCCGCCACTCCTGGCTTGGGGGTTCTTTTGAGGGCAGAGAAAATGGGCCTCGATAGACTGAATATGAGACAGGAATGACCAGAGTAGAGGACATAGGGAAGAAAAGAAAGTGGCTCATCAGGCCTGTGTGCCAGCCCCTGCTCTACCCTCTCAGCAGCCCTGGGCCCTCAACGGCAAGCTGGAGCCAAGCCCCTGGAGAACCAGAGTCCCCAAGCTCTGATAGCTGCAGCACCCTGTGTCACCAAGGGGAGGCCTTACCTGGTGTCCATCTGTTCCAGCTGTAAGGGAGAGGGGCCATGTTAGAGGATACTGATTCTGAGTTCCAGTATCCAGAGGAGGTGGCAGAGGGAACACCTAACCCACCCCTTCCATCAAAGTTGCCATTTCCATGTCACAGACACTTGCACAGACTTCAAGATGGTTCACTGTTTTGTTTGTTTTTGTTTTTGAGACAAAGTCTTGCTAGGCAGTTCAGACTGTCCTTGAACTCACGATGGTAGCCCAGGCTACAACTTGAGGCAATCCTCCTGCTTCAGCCTCCCAAACACTGGGATTACAGGCATGTGCCACCACACCCAGCTAGTCCACTGTTTTTTAAAAATGTTTAAAACCATTAATCTAAAGTTATCTCCCAGCTGGGCACTGTGGTACACATCTGTAATCCCAGGGACTTGGGAGACTGAGGGAGGAGGATCTCAAGTCCAAGTCCACCCCAGGTAAAAGAAAGGAGGGATGAAAATAATTGGAACCGAGCCGGACATGGTGGCACACACCTGTAATCCTAGCACTCGGGAGGCTGAGGCAGGAGGATCATTTCGAGTTCGAGGCCAGCCTGGGCTACAAGGTGAGGTCAAGCTCAGCCTGAACTGCATAGTGAGACCCTGTCTCAAAAAGACAAGACAAAAAAAAAGAAAGAAAAAGAAAAAATAATAATAATTGGAACCACCTCAGAAAACTGTTTAGAAAAATGTACACAATGATCACAGTGAGAATAATCAATAAATGTTCACTGTAATTATTCACAGAGCTTAGGAGCTATGTCTATAGGCTGCTTAAGCTCTGGTTCATACAGAGAAGATCAGAAATGGTTCTAATTTTTCTACACAGCGTAGAGCTATGTTTTAAACAAATTAGTAGCATGTACCATGCAAATTTTTAAAATGGAAAAGCTATCAGGCTCTGTCATGCACACCTATAATCTTAGCTACTTGGGAGCCTGAGGCAGGAGGATCACCATCCTGGGCCATTTAGTGAGATCTTGTCTCAAAATAAAAAACAAAAAAGTGTAAAGTGCCCCTGGGTTCAATCCCCAGTAGCAGAAACAACTTTTTTGTTTGTTTTTTTGCATAAAGCACTTTCTTTTTTATAGTTCTAGAGGCTATCAAATCAGGGCCTTCTCAATGAGCTACATCCTCAGCCCTTTTTACTTTTTTTTTTTTTTTTTTTTTTAAATTTTGACACAGGGTTTGCCGAGTGAGTAAACTGCCCAAACTGGGATCCAACTTGTAATCCTCCTTCCTCTGCCTCCCAGAGTTCTGGAACTACAGCTGTAAGCCATCACATCTGTAATGCAATCCTAGCCTCATCCAAAAACCCTAACCAACTTTCCCAGATATGAAGACACTCCTAAACCCTTATCCTAACCCATCAAGGACTATGATATAGCAGAAAGCATTTAAACTACCAATTACCTAATTACTCAACATGTAGATTCATTAGTTGCACAGAATCTGATATGAACTCTGTTGCCCTTCCATCCTACAACGATCACCGGGTGTAACTGAACCAAGGAGATGCTAAAGATAACCTGCTGACCCAGTCAGTGGTGCCTCCAGGCACCTGTAGTAGGCAGGACCTCAGAAGGGAGGAGGATATCCCCAGGGTAGAGCAGGACTCACTTGCTTCCACACCAGGTGAGAGCTGCTAGAGACCACATCCTGGGCTCACGGGACTTCAGACAGCAACACCATAGTTTTGTTTTTGTTTTGTCCTTCTGAGACAGGGTCTCACTATACGGTTCAAGCTGCCCTTAAGCTGACTTTGTGGCCCAGGCTGGTCTCGAACTCACAGGGATCCTCCTGCCTCAGCTTCCTGAGTTCTGGGATTACAGGCGTGCGCCACCACACCTGGCAAGAGCAGGTTTTTGATTCAAATAGCAGATATGGGGTTTTCTTAGAAAAAGCAAGTCATTACACTGGGGGTATTTAAGTTGGGAGGTATCAGATATCAAGGAATATTTATATCCTATACAGGTGGTTACAATGGAAATGAATTTAGCATGATTTGTACAAGTTTGTTTTGTTTTGTTTGGTGATGCTGGGGATTGAACCCAGGGCCTTCCCTTTGAGCTACATCCTCGCTCTTTTATTTTTTATTTTGAGATGGGGGCTGAGGCAGGAGGATGGTTGCAAGTTCGAGGCTAGCCCGGGCTACAAAGTGAGCTTAAGGCCAGCCTGAACTGCATAGCCAGACGCTGTCTCAAAAAGACAAAAAAAGAAAAAAGAAAAAAAAAAAATTTTCACATAGGGTCTCACCAAGTTGCTAACTTGCCTAGGCTGGGCTTGAACTTCTGATCTTCCTGCTTCAGCCTCCCGACTGCTAGGATTATGAGCTCGCACCACCACGCCTGGCTTCTTTCCACAAATTATCAGCAAGACTCATCCAGGTCCCAGCGCATCTGTGCTATTCCCACTGCTCGACTTTCCCCATTGTACGAAGCTGCCTACTGATTTTTTCGCAGATATTGGCAGTCATGCACAGAGCAGCCGGATAATTTGCGGATTACCAGAACCCAGGAAAGGGAGGGTGGAGGAAGGATGGTTAACAGACGCCGAGACGCAGCTGCACAGAAGAAATAACTCCTAATGTTAACGATGCTGGCAACGGGCAGATATTTCAGTAGCTCATTGAACTGGCCAGCTATCTGTTGCTGGACACGGCATCCGGCCCCACAACGTAAACGAGGTGTATTTTGGCTCAGGGCTTAGTCCAGTCGGCCAGCTCCAAAGCAGAAACAGCTTGGTGCAGGGTCTGGCTGAGGACAGCGCCGCTGGCCACCGCAGCCAGGAAGCAGAGAGGGGTAGAGCCTGGCCCCTGCACGCCAGGGTTCAGGCCACGCCCCCAGCCACCCGCCTCCAACCAGGCCCCGCCCCCTAACACTGCTCAGTTCCTGAACTTGAGGGACGAATCCGCGCGTTAGTCTCGCGCCACCATGCTCCATAGCCTTTGAAAGACGAGGCTTTGGGGGACATTGTAGGCCTAAACCGTAACACTAAGGATTTTAAAAGTTCCCAACACAAAGAAATGATGTCTAAGGTGATAAATATGCTGATGGCACTGACCTGATCATTACATATTGCATACATGTACTGAAATGTCACACCGCACCCCCTAATTACCAAGCCAATTAAAAAGTCTAAATTACACACTCCTGTAATCCTAGCGTTCTAGGAAGCTGATGCAGGAGGTGCACAAGTTCGAGCTTGACATGGACAGCATAGCAAGACCCTCTAAAAAAAAAAAAATTGAGGGGCTGGGGATTTAGCTCAGCGGCACAGCGCCTGCCTAGCAAGCCCAAGGTCGTGAGTTTGATTCCCGGTACCAGAAAAAAAAAAAAAAAAAATTGGTTTTTTTTTTTTTTTTTGAGACAGGGTCTCACTACGTAGCACAGGCTGGCCCCTTGGTTTTTTGGGGTTTTTTGGTGGTACTGGGAATTGAACTCATGACCTACTGCTTGCAAGGCAGGCGCTGTACTACTGAGCTATAAACCCAGCCCTTTTTTTTTTTTTTTTGTCTTTTTTTTTTGCGGGGGTACTGGCACTGAAACTCAGAACCTTGCTCTTGCCAGGCAGGCACTTGTGCCACTGAGCTATATCCCTGGCCCCAAAGGGCTTGAATCCATTCATGTAGCCTAGGCTGGCCTCGAACTCACAGCAGTCCTCCTGGCTCAGCCTCCTGAGTGCTGGGATTACAGGCGTGTACCACCACACCTGTCTTCTCTCAAAATTAAAAAAGGGGGGGGGTTGGGAATGTAGCTCAATGAGAAGGCCTGGGGTTCAATCCCCAATACACTCCATCCCCAATACACTCCATCCCCAAACTTATAATAAACATTTGTGAACAGGTTTATTTTTTTGTTTTGAGAGAGGGTCTCAGACCGGGGATGTAGCTCAGTGGCACATGTGCCTGCCTGGCAAGCACAAGGTCCTTAGTACAATCCCTGTACCAAAAAAAGAGTGCTTCATTTTGTAGCCCAGGCTGGCCTTGAATTCTGAGGTCCTCCTGCCTCAGCCTCCCCAAGTGCTGGGATTACAGGCATGCACCATCACATCCAGCTTGTGTATAGGTTTTTGTATGAACAAGTTTCCATTTCTCATGGAATTGAGTCCAGCTGCCCCACTGCTCTCAGTACCCAGTATCCTAGCTTGTTTCCCAACCCCAGGCCTTGTTTTTACCAAGGTATGCAGTGAGCAGTACCTCCTTGTGGGTTTCCAGCAGTAAAGTGCTTTTATTGTTGCTGTTCATGGTCCTCAGGATCAAACGCAGGGGCACTCTGCCACTGAACAACGCCCCCTACAGTCTCACTACACTGCCTGGGCTGCCCTTGAATTGACGACCCTCCTGCCTCCGCTCCAAAGTGGCTGAGACTGACAGGTGCGCACAACGGAGCCTGGCCCAGGGATGGGTTTGGGTGCAGATTTCTTCCCCAGTGAATCACACGTTTTTGTTATCACAGCTGATGCTTTTAGATAAATGCTGAAAACACCCAATTAAATATACTTTATTGCTAAAAAATGTCCTTTGGAGTGATAGTATTTATCCTCCGCCCCAGGGCTCCTGGGAGTGTTTGCTACTGTGGACAGAGAGAGGGCCTGGGGACAAGGCGAGTGGGACGTACAGCAGACGGGTGGCTCCAGCATACCCACATCACAATACAGGCACGGCCACCACGACGCAAGCGTTCGCTCGGCTGTCCCCCCTCAGCCACCACAATGCAGGATTCGCTCACCACCAACCCTCAGCGGGGTCAAAAGTCACGGGGAGACTCCTGTGCCCTGAGATGGGGGCCATTACCACCTTAGGTGGGAGAAAGGAGCTGAAGGAGCCGAAGAGCAGAGCTTTGGGGAGACAGTACATACACCAGCCCCATCTGGTGTCCAGGAGGGGGACAGGCTCCCCGCTTCTGGCTCCCCAGAACATGTACCAGCCCCCCAAGCCCCAGCTTGTCCGTCATCCGACCCTCAGGGTGCTGATGTTCAGTGTGCCCCCAGCAGGCTAGGACAGTCCCTCCTGAGCTTCACATGACCGACTCCTTCTCACAGGCAGCAGCATCGCCTGCAGGGGCTTGATGACTTTTGAGGAGAGGGTTCCCTTCCTCTAGGGTGGGTGGCAGTGGATCCAGGGGTACCTCACTTTTCACTTGGATCAACTCAGGGTCTGAGCTCTGCAGCTTCATCCGATCCATGTAGTTTTGGAGGAGTCCGGCTCCAAAGGCATCGCCTTCCACATTGATGATGGTACAGGAACGGTCTCTAAAAGGGTAATTGACAGGAAGGAAAATGAGAAGGGAAGGAAGCAAAGGGTCAAGCCCCATGCCTCCTGCCTCTCCCGCCAGAATCATTAAATTTTGAGACAGGGTCTCCCTAAGTTGCCCAGACAGGCCTCAAATTTGGGATCATCCTGCCCCAGGCTCTTTAGTGCTTGGGATTACAGGTCACTCTGTCACTGTGACCAGCTTTGTACTTACTTTTGAAGCCAAACTAGTTTCGATCTTTATCCCCTTTCTTCCCCATGCTGTGGATCAGTCCCAGGCCTCATGCTAGGCAAGTGTTCCACCGCTGAGCTACACTCCCAGCCCTCAAATTTTCATTTTGTTATTTGAGCCAGGGTCTCCCTGGCCTAAGCGCCACCTCTACTAACTAACTGGACTTATTGCCGCTCTAGGGTTCTTCTTAGAGCCCAACAGATGCCAACTCTCCCTCTAGAGCTCTTTCTGTCTTTCCTTTTCCGTCTAGATAGGTGCCCAAAGACACACTGGCCCCTTCCCTTTCTAGGGGTGCCCTGTAACCCCCTCAACCCACACTCACATCAGCCAGTCCATCGCCAGGATCAAGGAGATGTCACGGACAGGGAGGTTGACAGCTTCGAGGATGATGGCCAGGGTGAGGACTCCCCAGCGGGGATGCCAGCCGCCCCCACGCTGGACGCCGTGGCAGTGATGCTGGCGGGGGGATGAGGTCAAGTGAGGCAGACACCTCTGTGCGGAGAAGAGGTGTGGCCAGGCAGGCCCAGGGGTCCCAGCTGCAACCCCCACCCTGGGTGCTCACAGCCCAAGTCCAAGGGCTGCTGGTTGAGCTGCGCGATGAACACGGCGGCCACACACTGGAAGAGCGCTGCTCCGTCCATGTTGACGGTGGCGCCAATGGGCAGGACGAAGCGGCTGATGTGCTTGGCCACACCGTTCTTCTCCTCCACGTACTTCATCATCAGGGGCAGCGTGGCGGAGCCACCAGGGATGCTGGGCAGTCAGCGCCCCGCCCCCTGACAGCTAGCCCCGCCCATTCCCCCTGACAGCTAGCCCCGCCCAGCTCCCTGAGAGATCGCCCTCTCCTAGCTTCCTTCCCAACTGCAGCCCTTTCTCCTGCCATAGCCAGAAGACAGGCCCAAAGGATCTTGCAAAATGCCAAGATTCTAAAATATGTAACCGGGACACCCCTGAGTATAAACCGCTACCTCTCACAATACCCAAGGAAGGAAGAAATCTAAGGCAGTGGTTTCCTAAATTTTTACGGGTGGGGTGGACGCCAGGACCTTGAGAAACTGATGGAAGTATGTTCCCTATGCCTCAACTATCCCCAAACAAAGTTTCCAGGGCTCCAGATACCCAATACCCAGCTCATGCGCCTTTGCCTAAATCGCCTGCCCCGGAGGACAGCAAGGCACACCTGGAAGAGGTACCAAAGGCAGTGGCCAGCGGCGTCATGATGCCCCACAGGAAGCGGTACGGGTTTTTGCGGGTGAAGAGGAAGTAGATGAGGGGCAGGACCAGAAGCCCGTGGATGGCGTGGCCCACCAGACAGCACACGATGTATTTGCCAAGTCTGGTAAAGAGCTGCGTCACATCTTCTATCTCCATGATCTTGCTGGCCACCAGGAACAAGATGCCCACAGGGGCGTACCTAGTCACCCAGAGACCGGTTACTGCTGCTGCCCCATTTTCCATCCTTACCCCACCCCCACCCCCCGCATCAGGAGCCCAGGGCAAGGTGCGCTGAATTCTGGGTACCACTCCCAGCATCCTCTGCTCCCTCCCCGAGGCTCTCCTTTGAAGGTGGAGCAGCCAGGAGATGAAAGCCTGGGTGCTTCCATCCCCGCTTTGAGGAGTGTCCTCCAATTTGGATTTAACACCTGAGCGAGACAGAAACATCCTTTATGTGTGGTCATTTGTTTTCTGACTGGTTTGTTATAGCAGCCAGTCTGACTTAAACCAATAAACTCTCAGCACACCATCAAAAATAAAAAGGTCATGGCTTCAGATCTTAATAGTTCCCATGTATGAGGCCCTTACAACACACTGAGCCTTTGATCGAGACTGAATTGTCACAACAACCCACAAGGGAGCTCCCATTGTAAGTGTGTCTCAGTCAGGAGAAGTGACACATGCCCGTAATCCTAGCACTCAGGCAGAAGGCCGGCAAGTTTGAGGCCAACCTGAGCTACAAAGCAAGACTTAGTCACAAAACACAACACAACAGGGCTGGAGATTTAGCTCAGCGGCACAGCGCCTGCCTGACAAGCGCAAGGTTGTGAGTTCAATTCCCGGTACCAGAAAAAAACAAAAAAACCAACCAAACAAAAAAAACACAACACAACACAACAAAACGAGGACAAGCATGGTAGTGCCTGCCTATAATCCCAGCATTTAAGATGCTATGACATGAGGATCACAAATTCAAGTCCAATTTGGGTAACTTGGAAATTTAATGGTACCCTATCTCAAAAACAAAATTAATTAATGTAATTAAAAAGGACTGGGAAGCCGGGAATTTAGCTCAGCGGCACAGCGCCTGCCTGGCAAGCACGAAGTCATGAGTTCGATTCCAGGTACCAGAAAAAAACCAAAAGTAAAAAAAAAAAAAAAATAAAGGACTGGGGATGTAGCTCAGCCTGAAGGCTCTGGGTTCAACCTCGTTGCCGTTTTATAAGTGAAGGAACTGAGGCACAGAGATGGCAAGTCACGTGCCCAAAGTCACACAGCCAAGGAATCATCAATGTTGGATTTGAATGCAGGCCTTCTGGCTCCAGGGAGTGGATGCAGGCTCCCCCTACCCACACGGAGAGGCCCAGCCTGTCTCCTGCTACCTACCACATGATCCAGGAGACCAGCACCATAGTGGCATCATTGAAGGAGCTGAAGAAGCGGATGAGCAGCTCTCCCTCGGGCCCCAGCTTCCGCAGGGCCACACCAAAGACGATGGCAAACATGACCAGGCCCAGGATGTTCATGCTGTCCACCTCCTTTCCCACAGGCACCTTTGTCAAGAAACAGACGGGGGCAGAAGGAGGGACACTCACTCAGTCCAACTGCTGGGCCACGGAGGGCCAGTCCTGGACACTGCTGAGATCCAGCACAGCCAAGACAGCCCGAATCAGTCTGGGTCTGGGGAAACAGGTGTCACCAGGGGTCACCTGAGGAAATAGGGCTGGAATTGGGGAGCCCCAGGGGAAAGCGGGAAGTGAAGGAGGTGCCAGCCTGGGCATCAGGGAAGGCTTCCTAGAGGAAGGGGCACCCAAGCTGAAGATAGGAGAGGTAAACCATGGAGTAGAAGTTTCTAGAGAATGGAAACAATGTTCACCAGCCAAGAAATCAGCCCAAGCTAGGCACTCACAGAATGGAAAGAAGCTGGGCATGGTGGCACACGCCTATAATCCTAGCACTTGGTAGGCTGAGGCAGGAGGATCACCACAGCCAGCCAGCCTGGGCACAGGCTAGACAGAGGAGTCATGAAATGAGGCTGGGGGAGGGAGGCTGGGGTCTGACTTCCCAGGGACCCATTGTGCGGACACTGTGACTAGAAGCCTGGGCTTTTTCCTGAGGACAATAGGGGATACAGCAGAGGGCCGGACAGTGCACAGCCAGCCACATGTGCACTGGTGGAAAGACCCCTCTGGCTGCCAAGTTGGGGACAAGATGGGATGTGACTGGGGGTTGGGAAAGAGGAGCCTTAAGTACAGGAGAGTTGTGAGGAGGAGGGAAAAAGCGAGGACAAAGTGGAATCACATTTAGAACGTGGAAAAGGCCGAAACTAGTAAAAGATTAGTTTTCTTTTCTTTTAAACCAGAAATCAAACTCAGGACCTCGCGATTGCCAGACAAGCACTGTGCCGCTGAGCTATATCCCCAGCCCAAGGCTGCAGAGTTTAAATCAAATCCCACACCAGTAAGAAGACCCAGAAGGCAGTCAAAGACTGGGGTGGGAACAAAACCAGAACACCACAATGGTGCGACCCCGCAGCCCCTTGCACGCTCACCTTCACCGTGGTGTTGCTGAACGGTCTGTCTTCATAGATGGTGGTGTACTGCAGGCGGGGTTCAAAGAGTCAGTGTCAGCTGTCGCAGAGCCCCTCTCTCCCCAGGCCCACATGCTCAGAACCTGCCCTAAGCAGCCCCTAAACGGATTTCCCCTGCCAGCAGTGATCCCACCAAGATAGGACAATTAACATCCCATTTCCTGGCGATAAAGCCACCTGCTGGGTCACCTGTCACACAGCTAGAATGAAAACACACAGGATGTTCCCAACCCATACATATTCCCGCTCCTCTCTGGGAGACACAGGTAGGTTTCGGGGCTACCCAAGAGCCCTACAAAGTCACATGCAACGTGTGGCCGCATGCATGCTCCCAGGCTTGGCCCAGAAGTTGGTGGCAAGGCTACAAGTGGCTGTCTCCCTTCCTGCCCGCCGGGGACACCTCTGAGGACTTACTGAGCTGAAGGCTGCGGATACCAGGTTGGAGGGAAAGACAGTTTCTGTAGGAATAGACAGAGGGGTTATTAAACATAAGCATCGGGGGAGGACAGGGGTGTGGGGGTGACTGGCCTCCTAGAGGGGAACGAAGGGAACTTCTGAGGACTCATTTGTACCCAAATGTGAAACGTGACCTCCCCCCCAAGTCCTGCCAGGGTGCCATTGGAACGGCTTGTAGACATTTCCAGGGTTGCAGGTCTGAGCGGCCTCCTCTGGCCCCTGAAGACTGGCTTTCCAGGCCCAGGGGACTGTGGGTTGGAAGTACAGAACACTGGGCCCCACGGCGGGGTCACCCCAGCCTTAACTCCGCCCATGCAGCAAACTTAACATTCTGGCCATCTTGCATCAGCTGCTTCCGGAAGGACTAAGAAAAGGGCCGGCCAGGCAGGCAGGGAAGGGCGTGGTACAGGAGAATCTGAGAGTGTTGGAAGGTGGAAGTGAGAGGCCAGGAGAGAACAGCAGGGGCCGCAGGGCAGGCAGAGCATGTCATGAATATGCATGTGCACTTACAGCGCGTCATGCCTGTCCTGAGGGAGTAAGAGCAGCCGACCAGCTCCAGACCAGTTCCAGTACCTCTCCAGGCAGGGAATTCTGCCCTCACAACAGCCCTGGGACAGGCATTATTACCATATTTCACAGAAAGGGAAACAGACACACACTAGGGCAAAAACCTTGCCCAGATACAAAGCAACAAAGCTGGGATCTGAACCTGGCCAGTGGCCTCGCATCCTCCCTCTTTCAAGGACCAGAGCTAGGATCAGGCTTGCGGGGGCAGTGCCAGCATGGCCAGGCTGTGTGGTGCAGTGGTGTGGCGATGTGTGGATGGTCACACAGGTGTGCACGCGGAGATGTGCTTAAGCGTGAGTTCAGCTGTTTCCAAGGCAGGTGGCACCAGCAGGCGCTCTGCTGTAGGGGTGTGGTAGCCCACAGTGCAGGTCTGTAACAGCTGCTGTAAGGCCACGTGTCTGTGTCTCTGGGCGCCTGTGTCCAGCTGCGTGGCTGTTGATAGAAGGCCGGGTCTGGTGACTTTGGCCAGCCAAGTGTGAGTCACAGCTGCTTGGGTACTGTTGAGGGGCGTAAGGAGCTGGTGCTCATAAACAAACAGCCGGGAATGGGTGTGCCACCCGCAGCCAGAGCCGGGCTAGAACCTGGCTAATCTCACCCAGCCAGGAGGTACGACCCACTGCAAAAGTGGAGAGCAGCCCTGCAGTGTCACCCATCTCGCTACACGGACGTCCCTGAGCTGGGAAGACCCTGTTCCATGACATAGTTTCCTCCCCCAACTTCCAGGAAGTCCCCAACCCAGACAATGAATCAGAGGCCTTACAGGCAAAGGCCACCAGACCCCACCATCTAACCCCTGGGGAGGGAAGGAGGCAGAAGGAATCTAATCTGCTCCCTTTCCGGAGGGCGGTGGGGCTGACCTGAAAGACAGAAAAGGGAAGTGACTGGGCCAGCTGAACCGGAAGGGAGGAGAGGCTCAGAAAGACAGCTGTGTCTGGGTGACACGTGGTGTGGGTAGCCTCGTGCCAGGAAGGAGGGAATTCCAGATCCCCTCGGGTCTCCCAGAGGCTCCTTACCCAAGAGTCTCAATCTCTGACACTCTTCCCAAATCTTTATCCCAAAAGCCTCATATCACGGGGTCCTTGGACACCCAAAGACTCCCTCCCACTGCTTTACATATGCAGCTGTTGGGGTGGGTTAGCACGAATTTTCAGGTCCAGTTGGAGGGGTCCTCGGGCTCCCTGTCCTCACGGAGTTCTTGCCTCTAGACAAACCTATGTCCCACAAGACTCCCCAAGATTCCTTTCCTCCAAGACCTCCTTGCCTATCATCCTCATGCAGGGTCCTGCTTATGTCCCCAGCCCCCAAGATTTAAAACCTGCTCCCCAGGAGTCTGGCTTCACCCTCCCTAGTGACCAGAGCTCACGGCCAGCAACCCTCGGGAGGGATGCCTCCCTGTAGGGGATCCAAAGCCCTTTCCTGCCCACGTGGCTACTGCCATATTCCTAGCACTGGAACGGTCCATCCCACTCAGAGGGAAGAGAGATGTCTGACCTCACAAGATCCAGGAAGGAATCCACCACCTCCTTGCTGGGGGTCTGTTCAGTGGACTGGGTGGCAGAGGTGTTGAAGGCAGCGCCCGGCTGCAGCGCCAAAGCCAAGCCCACACCCAGCGCCGACGCTATCAGTGTGGTCACCAGGAAGAAGAGCAGCACCCAGGCGCCCAGGCGGCCGAGCACGCTGGGGTCCAGGCTGGCGGCGCCGGTGATCAGGCTGCACACCACCAGCGGCAGGATGATCATCTTCAGCAGGCGCAGCAGCAGCTCTCCCGGGAAGGCGAAGATTACCAAGCGATCGGGTCTTATCTGGCCGCTGGCCTCCGACACCCCCAGCCCCAGCGCCACGCCGGCCACCACGGCCACCACTGTCAGCAGCACCAGAAGGTTGGCTCGAAGGCAGCGACGCACCTGGCGGCGGGAAGCGCAGCAGCTACCTGCCGTGGCGCCTCGGACCTCTGGGGCATCCAGCTCCGGGCCACCGTTGGCGGTGGGCTCCACCGCCGCGAACCCCTTGGGGTCGGCCTTGGGAGGATCGACCACCATGATGGGCCTCGCTGGGTTCCTAGACGCCGGGAAGCTGGGAGCGCTTGGGGCTCTCTCCCCGGACGCGCGTCCTTAGGGCGGAGACTTGGGTAAGAGCGCCGGGAGGCTGCAACTTCGCAGGGCGCCTTGGAGTTGGAGTTTAGACGCTCTCGGGACCCGCAGGGTGGGCGCCCTCGATAGGGCGTCCGGGCTCCTGCGCTCTAGCCAGTGGTGTCCGATGCCCCCACGCGCCTGGCTTTCTCAGCCCTGGGCGCTGGGAATACAGGAGTTTCTCCGGCTGGGACGTGAGGTCTTCGGCTCGCGGGGGCCCAGATTGCCCAGGTGGTGGAGGTCCGCAGGAAGCTAAATCCAGGTGGCGTAGATTCGGGACGTCTGGCTTCGAGAGGCGGGGACCCTGGGTCCTGGAAACAGAGGGGCTAGGGCTCCGGAGCCTGGAGGCCGGGCAGCGGACTCCAGAACGAAGGAAGTTACGACTCTTGGGTCCGGGAGGTGAAACTCAGGCCCCTGGGTACGGAAAGTACCGGCTCGGGACCGAAGAACCCAGCAACCGGCAAGCGAGGGAAAGCGCCCCGGGCGCGCCGCGTAGCTCTGAGCCCGCTCGGCCGAAGCTGCCAGGATTAAGGGCAGGGCGGGGGCTCCAGAAGGCGGGCTCCGGCCCGCAGGCTCCCACTGGCTGCGGCGCGTTCCAAGCTCTCCTGAGAGGGACCGGGCTGAGACTCGAGTGGGGCGGGTGGCCCAAAGTAGGCTAAAAAGCGAGGGCTGAAAGGGCGTGGCCTGTAGAGGGCGGGGTCAGAGGACCAAAAGCCGGACAGAAGGGGCGGGGCGCTGGGAAATTGCTTTTTCGCGCCGAAGAAATTGCTTTGTGGGTTGGGGCGGTTAAGCCACCACTGTTCACCCGCCCGAGGGTCTTTAGGAAGTGCAGGCAGGTGATCTTAAAGTAGTTTATTTGCAAATCAGCATAGCTTCGTACTTTTTAACTCTGATTTCTGTCTTTTGTCATCTGTCAGAATTTAAGTTCCTCCGTTGTAAAATGCAGGTGACAGAAGCTCATCTCTTACATGATTGCTATAAGACTTGAATGAGACAGTTATTCATTTTTTTTTTCTTTTCCTTTTTGAGACATGGTTTCACTGTGCAGCTCGGGATGGCCTTGAACTCACTTTGTAGCCCAGGCAGGCCTCGAACTCACAGTGATCCTCCTGCCTCAGCCTCCCCGCGAGGCTGGGATTACAGGCGTGCGGCACTACGCCTTCGGAGACAGTTATTCTTTTTTTTTTTTTTTTTCCCGGTACCGGGAATCGAACTCACGACCTCGCGCTTGCCAGGCAGGCGCTGTGAAGCTGAGCTAAATCCCCAGCCCCGACAGTTACTCATTGAATGTTTTTATTTTTGTTTTGAGACAGGTTCTCAGCCGGGCATGGCGGCACACACCTGTAATCCCAGCACTCAGGAGGCTGAGGCAGGAGGATTGTTGTGACTTCGAGACCAGCCTGGGCTACAAAGTGAGCTCAAGGGCAGCATGAACTGCATAGCGAGACCCTGTCTCAAAAAGACCAAAACAAAAAAAGAGAGACAGGGTCTTGCTGTGTAGCTCAGGCTGGCCTCAAACTCACTGTGATCTTCCTAACTCAGGCTCCTGAGTGCTTATTGAATATAGTTCATTTATTTATTTTGACATCTCTACTAATGCCTGAGACAGCCTCACTCTCCCAGTTTCCTGACTTGGAAGCAGATCAATGTGATGAAGCTTGCAGGGGCCCAGGCCCACTGCTGGAGCAGGGGATTTGAATTAGGTGTCTCTGAGCCTGGCTGGAACCCTCATCCTCCATCAGACAATGTTAGAACTCTGGCACTTGGCATCACTCTAGAAATGGAGATTTCCTTCCAGGGACCATCATTTATTCTGAGCACAGCTCAGATCCTAGGAGAGTAGGGTTAGGGACCCAGCAGTCGCCATGACAGTCCTGGCTCTGTCTCCCTGGGACTTAAAGTTCAGTGGAGGAGACAGAGCTATCTGCACAGTGATGACAGACTGGGAGGCAGGGGATGCTTTAAAGAAGAGGAACCCACCTGGAACAGGAAGTTGGACTGCTATGGCTTGAAAATGGTTTGTCCCCAGCACAGGCAGGGATTTAATCCCCAAAGATTTATGGTAATGGTATTAAGAGGTTGGGAATTTTGCTTTTTTTTGGGGGGGGGGTTCTTTTTTTTTTGTTTTTCTCCGGTACCGGGAACCGAACTCACAACCTTGCGCTTGCCAGGCAGGCGCTTTGCTGCTGAGCTAAATCCCCAGCCCTGAGGTTGGGAATTTAATCTACACGCTTAGGGGTGTGGCCTCGGGAGGAGGTGAGATTAGATGGGGGGCTTGATGAGGAGACAAGCTGGGCTGGGTGGCTCCCACCTGTAGTCCCAATTCTTTGGGGTGCTGAGGAGGATCAAAATTTGGAGCCCCTGACTGGATAACTTGGTGACTTCAAAATAAAAAACAAAAGAACAGCTATAAAGTGGCCAACCTCAGGTATTTTGGTAGAGTAAGGAAAACTGACACATCCATGGCCTGTTCCAGGGAATTGCACGTGCAAAGCTCCCACTGAGCTGAAAAGCTGGGAACGCTCCGAAGCAAACATCTAACCTAGCTGCCCTTGTCCTCTGGGTGGCCCACCAATCCCTGCAAGACTAGGTCCAGACTCCTTCCCTGGGCATCAGTCTGTTCCATAGTTCATGTCTTCAATTATTCCATAAACCACATGCACAGAACAGAATGCCAAGACCACTGAATAGCAGGAGATGCCCCCAGGGGCCAGTGCTCACGCTGGGTGGTTCCATGATTCAGCCACCAGTTTGGTCTGTCTCTGTATGAAAGGATGCTCGAGTCCCTCATATAAAGTGGTACATTGTTTCCCAGCACCTATGTAGGTCCTCCTTTGCGCATGCATGTGCGTGTGCGTGTGTGTGTGTGTGTGTGTGTGTGTGTGTGTGTGTGTGTTGCTGAGAATTGAAACCAAAGCCCCACACATGCTGGGCCATTGCTCTGCCACTGGGCCACATTCCCAGCAATTTTTATTTCTTTATTTTGAGATAGGGTCTTGCTAAGTGGGTGGCCTCAAACTGGGGATCCTCATACCTCAAACTTCTTCTTTTTTTTTTTTTCTTTGAGACAGGGTCTAGCTATGCAGTTCAGGCTGGACTTGAGCTCACTTTGAAGCCAAAGCTGGTCTCAAACTCGCAGCAATCCTCCTGCCTCAGCCTCTCAACTGCTGGGATTACAGGTGTGCGCCACCATGCCCTGCGAGACAGTCTTGATATGTGGTTCAGGTTGGCCTTGAACTCACTATGTAGCCCAGGCTGGCCTTGAACTTGCAGCAATCCTCCTGCCTCAGCCTCCCCAGTGCTGGGATTACAGATGTGTGCCATCACAACTAGTCAGTATAATTTTTTTGGTGCCAGGGTTTAAACCCATGACCTGGTGTAACACTCTACTCAAGAAATATTTTTAAGGAGGGGGATGTTTGCCTTTTTGTGTTTTCCTAGCAAGATGACACTAATATTTGGAGTGCATAAAGAAAACCAAAGAAAGGTGAGAAAACAGAGACGTAAGTAGTGCCGCTAAGCACAGTGGCACACACCTGTAATCCCAGCACTTGGAGCCAAGGCAGGAGGAGCACTGGGTTTGAGGCCAACCTGGGCTACATAGCAAGACCTTGTCTTGTAAAAACAAAACAAACAAACAAACAAAAGTGCTCCTAATTGATCCAGAAGACAATGTCTGAATGCCCTAAAAGTTTTCATGTATTTTCAGCTGTGAGGTATAACACCCCTTTCTTTAATTTTTACAGCTAAAAGGATAAGAATTGTTCCAGAAATGCTTGTCAGTAACTCCTGCTTTCTCGTCCAGCTGAGAAAAATGTATTCCATAATAATGCGCAATGCCTATATAATAGTGTCATGTGAGTAGCTCGGTAAAATTAGCAAATAGATTTTAAAAAACAGATAAGAAATAGAGGCTGAGATGTGTCTGTTTCTAAGAAGGAAGAAGCAAAGTACAGGCTGGCACCGTGTCACTTGGGTGTGATAGGTATGGTGGTACATGCCTGTAATCACAGCACTTGGGAGGCTGAGGCAGGAGGATCGCTGTGAGTTTAAAGCCACCTTGGGTTTCAGGATGAGTCCAAGGCCAGCCTGAACTACACAGTGAGATCCTCTCTCTCTCTCTCTCTCTCTCTCTCTCTCAAAAAAAAAAAAAAAAATGCAAATGCCTGTATGACATCACCTTTCTGTGCATTACCTCTTTGCAGGAATTCTGAGAAATCACACTGAGGAAGGAAGCTGAGGCTTCACTGTTTAGTGCAGACGCTGCAGAATCTACCTTCACAGGCTTCTGTCTCCGTGCTCCGTGGCTAAATGAGCAAATCACTCAGCTCTCTGGCCTCAGTGAGCTCAGCACGCCGTGCCATAAAACAGGGACCATTTCATAGAGGTAGAGAGCCGATCACAGGGAGGTGTGTGTACAAAGTGCTCTAGCTGAGGCCCCAATTCCCAGCCCCAGGCTGAGGCTGGGGCTCAAAGGGAGGGTGCTTGCTTAGCACAGGAGAAGCCCAGGGTTCCATTTTCAGCACAGAAGAAAGAAAATAACCTCTACTACCCCATTCCAGGTACTGTAAAGCTATAACAACCCCCACCCAGTACCGAGGATTGGACGCAGGGAAGGCTGAACTACATCTTCAGCCCTTTCTTGTTGTGCGTATGTATATATTTATTTATTTTTTTGTTTCTTGAGAGAGTCTTGCTATGTAGCCCAGGCTGACAGTGAGCTCACAGTGATCCTCCTATCTCAGCCTCCCCAGTTTGAGATTTTTGTTGTTTGTTTTGTTTTTCGTTTTTTGTTTTTCTGCCAGTACCAGAAATTGAACTCCCGACCTTGTGCTTACCAGGCAGGCGCTTTGCTGCTGAGCTAAATCCCCATCCCCTCAAGTTTGAGATTATAGGCAAGGGCACGTCACTCCTGGCTTGTTTTTTAATTTTTTATAAATCCTTAGGAGCATGTTTATTGTGTTTGAAATAGACATCACTGCTGTCTGTGCTACAAAAGGCAAAAGAAAATCCTCTTATTGCAAACTGACAAAGGTAAAAAGTAAAACATTTTCACAAAAGCGTGAACCACATACTCAAAAAGAGGAGCCAGGCATGGTAGTGCACGCCTGTAATCCCAGCACTTGGGAGGCTGAGGCAGGAGGATCGTTGCGAGTTCGAGACCAGCCTGCACTCAAGGCCAGCCTGAATGGCATAATGAGACCCTGCCTCAAAAAGGCAACAAGACAGGGCTGGGGATATAGCTCAGTGGCAAAAGCGCCTGCCTGTCAAGTGCAAGGTCCTGATTTCGGTCCCCAGTGCTGCAAAAAACAAAACAAAATAAAAAGAGGGCCAAGATGTAGCTCAGCAGCACAGTGCCTGCCTGGCAAGTGTGAGGCCCTGAGTTATATACCGGGCACCAAAAATGAAACAAGAAAAAAAAAAAAAGAAACAGATTTGAGTTAAACACCATAATTCCTAGTTATTTATTGTGGGAGACCGTGACTGACCTCCATTGTATATTAGTAGCCGTCTTAAGTATTAAGTTTCTGTTGTCTGAGTTAAGTTTCTGTTAGACACGCCTTTCCCTTTAAGTCAGGACTGCCCACCGTTGCTTGGTTACTCCCACCTTAAGAACTTCCACGTTTCTCCGTGCCCTATATAAGCACGGTACTTCCCGCCAATAAACGAG